CAGATTCTGGAGAACAGAAGGAATTGATGTGTTGGTTCCAGAAGGAACTGTAAGCCTAGAAACACTGTTCCAAGTATGGAAGATGCAATACTAACTATAGGCTAGTGGTTACCATTCATTAAGGACATCTATGTCCCAAGCCCACTGGAGGGTGCCACATAATTTTACTCTACCCTTCACAATAATCTTGAGAAGTAAGTAAGATGGTCCCCTATTCATGTAGTTGACCCTTGGACCACATGGGTTTAACTGTGCAGGCCCACTTATATACAGATTGTTTTCAATAAATACCGTAAATGCATTTTTCTTCCCTATGACTTTCTTAGCATTTTTTCTTTACCTTATTTAATTGTAAGACTATAGTATATAATACACATAACATACAAAATACGTGTTAATCAATCATTTATGTTATTAGTAAGGCTTCCAGTCAACACTAGCTGTTAGTAGTTACATTCTGGGGGACTCAAAAGTTATATACAGATTTTTACCTGTGCAAAGCGTTTGTACCCCTAATCTCCATATTGTTTAGGAGTCAACTATACTTGAGAAAATTAAGAATGAGATAATTTGCTGGAGACTCCAGCTGGTCTGGAGCAAGATTCAAAGCTAGACTTATCCACTTTGCCATGGAGGCTCTCTGATGAAGACTGAATGGAATTGTAGGGGGGCTCGTGAAGTCATGAAGGGAAACTGCAAATAAATGTAGTGATGTTTATGAAATAACAAAAAAAAAAAAGCCAGAGGATTAAACAAAACCAACATTTCCAATATAAATCGTTTATTCCTATTAAATCTAGAAATAAAATTATTTTGATAATCTCCCATTAAATTAGATGGTAGACAAACGAAAACTTAAAAGAACAGATCATTTTGCAAATAATGAGAGTAGCTAGGGAAAGGCATCACATAACCATGGCAGGGAGCGAGAGAGAGAAATCATCAAATTGTTGTCCCACTTCGTTATGCGTTCGTTGGTTGATTCTTGTACATGTCCTCACCAGGGACCTAACCTGAAAACTTGGCGTGTGGGGATGATGCTCTGAGCCATGCTGCCAGGACCCAAAATCTTTTTCTGTATGTTAGTTATCGGGGCAACAAAAGAAATTTAAAAATACAGAGGGAAAAAGAATGTTTGCACCATAAACCCCAGAGCCAAGACCTAAGAATGAGGATTTAAACTGTCATATGAGATGTTCTGTAGAGATAAACAAATGATTTAACACAAAATCCACAATGCATAGTGGTAAGTGCCATGTTTATGCACCTAACACCACAGCCGGAAGAATGTCACCATTAATAGTGTCAGGCAGGTTATGAGAGAGAGCACAGGTTCGGCACCTGGGAGAAAAAAATATTTGGTACCTCAGTTTTCACATTGATTGCAAATAAAGACACGGTACTTTCCTTGCATTCATGTGCTCATTATATACTGTTAAAGGGAGGAAGGTAAAAAGAATGACTAGTTTGATGTTTGAGCAAATTTGCTGTGGAAGCAAAATAGAGAGACCTTTCTTACTTTGGCTGCCTGTCTATAGAGGGAGAGCAAAAAACAAACAAAAACAAAAACAAAAACAGAAAACCCTGTGAGACTGAAATTGTACTCATTCTTTAGAATTTATTGAGCACTATACTAGACACTTAGAAACACTGTAAAAGAGCTTGTAGTTTAATTGGCTAGGAGAACAGGCCAGCTGTCAATGAGGCAACGCATGGATTTTAAACCTGCAGCCGGAAGTGTCTCAGGTCAGCTTAGCCTTTGGGCTCAGCCCCACGCCCCATTTTATAGTCACAGATAATGGAAGCTGCTGGGCCTGCACCCACCAGTTCGCTCCCACACGGGAGGGGGCGCTCCAGGTGTGGTCTTTGTATGTGCTTCCTCACTCTTCTGCAAGCATTTCATCTGGCACGTAACAGGTGCCCGGGAGAGTTACATGAGGTTGGGAGGCCTGTCTTTATGAGAGTAAGCCTACCCCGTGGCCTTGCAACAGACACCATCCAGCACATGTGCCCAGCCTGTCTCCCACTTTGGCTTCTGACACATGCTGCCTCTCCTAGTCTCATTTCCTCTGTAGGCCCTCGCCTGCAGACTCTATTGACACCTCTGTCTTGGCTTTTCAGTGGCCCCGTCTGCAGGGATTCAAGGGCTTGGCTCACAAGTGGTCAAGACTGGAGAGGAAAACTTTAACTACGGAAGGATGTTCAATCCTGTCTAGTCTCAGAAAATGACCCAAACGGCTTTCTGCTGAATCAGCACTATTATATTTGCCACACATTTGAATAACGTCTTTCAGTCTGTAACCCAGGCTGGACATTTGTGTTTCTATCTGTTGTATTTGTCATTCTATCACTCACAGCAGGTCCGAAGTTTTGTTTGAGAGGGATTTGCACCATTTCCCATTGGGAGAGAGCCAAAATGGTCCCTTTGGCATCTCTGTGTCTCAGCTTTTCAGTATTCTCTGTTGAGCTACAAGGCTAGAATTTGGAATGTGATTTTCATTGCTCAGAAATGACTCCTCATATACCTAGAGGATAAGTCCCAAATACCAGAAAGACCAGTTTAAGGAACTGTGTTTGCATCTGTGTGTATACCAACAAAAAGATGGTGGAGTGACACACTTATTGTTATCATTACGTGCTTTTTGTGTTTTAATACCTGTCTTGGCATTGCTTCACAAAAGGAAGCTGCTTGTAAACAGTTCACTGTGGAATAAAGAGTGTTCACCTTTATTGCCCTCATCAAAGGCCTGGTGAGTGTGAACAGTGTCTGGTATAATTGGGTTCTGTTGGAATGGATACGAGACATCAGTTGTGTCAGCTAAACTTTCAGTTTCCGGGGGCATGAGAGGGAAAGACCAAAGCAAGGATAGGGCGGGGGTGGGGCAGATAAAAGTTGATCTTTTCTGTTTTTCTAAGACTGCACTGCTATCTAGGTGAGAAGATAACTTTGGGATCAAAGGCTTTCAGTCAACCATACCATTTTGAAAGTGTTTTCCAAATAATCAACCAATGGTAGCAACATAGAAGACTGCAATGACCACCTGCAAAGCTTGGAAATATATGGGATCTCCAGAGTGGAAGTGGGAGTGGGTGTCAGAAGAATCCACTTTTCATTTTGGTTCTATCAGAGCCTCTTTGGGATCTATGTTTACATATAAAATAAGGAGATTGGATTGGCTCTCATCAAAGCCTCTTGCAGCCTAGCCGCCTGGGAGCTCTGAATGTGTTGCCATCTCTGATTCAGTAGACCATGGCCAGCACTTCTGATTGATGATGCTTTCTTTACCCGAGGTCAGAAGTGTTCATGACCTGAAAATTCTCCCTTACGCGTGGGCATCTATGGCTTTCTGGGAAGGTTGTGTTCCCACCCTGCTGCTGTGAAAGACATTCACTGTAAGTCACCTTAACTACAAGTCAACGTGGCTGTTTCACTGCAGTGCTGAGTGTTGCAGAAGGCAGTTAGGCAGGAGCAGAGTAGGAACTGTAGGCCAGATGTGGAGTCACCAGGGAGGAGAGCTCCAGGCACCTCGCAATGGGCAAAACTACAAGCCCTTGCACCACCCCTCACTAACCCCTGGAAAGTGACATCTAGGCCTCTGCTGTGTTTCAGCTCCAGGCCCAGAAAAGCAGCAACAGCAGGCAGAATGAAGGCCTGGCTGAAGTCAGGACCAGCTACATTGAATAACGACCCTCTGCTGTGGCACCAGCCAAGCAGTAGACACCAAGACCCTCATGAGAGACACATAGGGAAAACTGATGGATAGTCTATTGAGATCCTCCCCGGAGACCTCAGATTAAAGCCCTCAGGAAGGGCAAGGCTCTCTCTATAGAGCAAGTCTATACCTTTCCTCACCCACTTTTTTCCCCTGGGCAACTCTCTCTCTCCCCTAATCTCCAAGGGCCCTTCTTTTGCTCTAACTTGTTTCCTGAGCCCATTTCTTTTACCGCTCACTTCTTTTACCTCTGTGACTTTTTAAATAAACTTTTTCTTATAATTTGAGTCTTGGCTCTGAATTTTTCTCTTTGCCAGAACTCAAGAACTGAGGTTGCTGAACCGAGGTTAACACCTGGTGCTGTTTTCCTGCCACTAACAGTTTGACCGTAAATCAACTTGACACAGGCATGGTAACATTCCATAGTTTCAGCATACTAATTAAATGAATCTTAAAACTTTCATGTTCTGGTCTCTTGCTCAGTGTTCTTTCTGCACGTTGGATCTGTTCACCTTACACTGAAAAGTCCACATCAGCCAGGGACACCCTTGTGAGCTGAAACAGGTAAGACTAGCCATGATGGCAAGATGAACACGCCAACTTTTCTTGTAAATAAGAAAAAACACAGATGACATTCTAAGAATGAAAACTGACTCATCTTTCTCAAAGCAAAAAAGTAAAAATAAAATAATAAAAGATGAAAAGGAAACCAGCAAATTTACAAATTACTTTTAATTATACTTAATTACTCTGTAAAGTGTTCAACTTACAAACTCTTACACAACTCTTGGCATTCAAACCACATAGTCCTATAAAACCATGACTTAAACATGTATTTCTGCCTCATTAAAAGAAGACAAGGACTGCGACTCACCTACCCACTCTTTTCCACTCTCTAGTACAATCCAAAGACTGGACCTCCATTTGGGGGGATCAGTTTGAGGCCTGGCAGGAACCAAGTAAAGGGCTGTGTTCAGAGAATTGCTGCTCTGAAAGAAACTCTCTGTTTCTCCGCCTGTCGCTGAGGTATGTAGAGAATAAATGCAAAATGTGCATTTTCTCAAAATCTCTCTTGAGAAAAGATCTCCACTTGGTTCCAGAGTGATTACTTTCAATATACGTTCAGTGGAGGAAGCTTTAAGAGGTATAATTCTTCAGGCACCAATGCTCAAAAAAAACAAACCATGAGCTATTTTTTAAGTATTTCAAATTCAAAGACAAGACAAGACAGTATGTAAAATGGATTTTATTTAACATACATGTATACTAAATATAAAAGCAGTTGAACTGACAGATCTAGGTTAGGTAAAACTTTCTGAATAGATCATATAAAACAGAAGATTGGCAACTATCATTTCTTGTATGTTTCTTATCTATAACAAGAGTTTTGACATTGGTATGAAGAGTTTTACCTTGGGGGAAAACATTTTTTTTTTTTCTGTTTGATGGTAGTAGTATGAAATAGAAAATGGAAAAATAAAAAGTATATCCATATTGTGAAAAATAATATTTTAAACACCGAAGTCTTACATATCTGCTTGTCCTTAGAAATATATCTAGCAGAATAAAGATCTGAAATATCCAATATACACACAACCCCCAAGCTAATTTATTTTTCAGGAGCCCACCTTCTGGCAGGAAACAATGCACGACTCCTCCTGGACATCCCACCAAGGGTTACTCATGTAAGGATTTGGCCGAAGTCTGTTGACACACTTCCCTAACATGTTCGCTCTCCACCCTCGCAATTACAGGCCTTTGAGAGATTTAGGAGCACAGCTAGTTTCCTAATAGATCCCCTTGTTCTGTCTTGTCCCATACCCCCATCCTTCATACTCCTGGGAGTTACCTTTCTGAACTCATCTCCATTGCCTGTTTGTAAAGTCCACGCTTCGGGGCGTTCACAGACTCGCACCACCTGACCGTGGCTTTCCTTCCCGACATCTCCCACCACTCTTGCCCTGCTCTCCCCTTTGTACCACTTGCACTTGCCCAAATGCCCCATGCCAGTTTCACGTTTTCAGCCACCTAATAATAGAGTACCACACACTTATGTGCCAGGCATGTCGTGGGGAGTTTTCATGCATTTGTTCATGCTGCTCCCAATGTGCAGAATGTTCTGCCCAAATGCGTCCCCCAAAAAATATCTCATTTTTCCAAGTCTCAGTACACAGTTCCTGTATATTTTGGCCTGACCAGTTAAAACTAACCCCTTCTCTCTCTATGCTTTCAATCAGTTCTATTGTGTAAAGTCTTAACACTCCTACATCCATGTGACCATAAACTTTGAGGCAAAAGTCCCTAACCCCTGACTCTTGCACTATTTCATCTTAGCCCCAGGAGCCCTATTTGGCCTCCACCTGGGTATGGCAAAGAAGAAAATAAGCAACAAAAAGCTACATCAGGTACTGCATGACTACCATTTCACAAGTTAGAAGTTTAGAAATGTATGGGACTTGCAGGATCATAAGAATGAATCCTAATTTATGGTGCCGCCTTGAAATGTACTACAAGACACATTAATGGTTCAGGGTTTCTTCCACAACCACATTCAGGAGTATTTGCATTTTTTTCGAAAAACTCTCCTTTTCTCCTAAGTTCAGTAAATTCTAGTGTTGTGGAACATTTAGTAGATAAAACCTTCCTCCGGTTCCCTCTTCCCCTACGTAGTGAAACAACACATCAGTGTGATAAGATCACCTCTCACCTTAATGCTAGCACTGCCTCCTTCAGAGGGATTTCCCTGACAATTTAATGTCTTCTCTCCCTGCATTCCCATAGCACTGCATACACTTCAATATGGGTAGTTAAAAATGATTAATCCTAGACCACGAAATTGCAAGCAGGTCAGTGCCTGGCATATAGTGAGCACTCAAATGAATGATGAGTTGAATCTTGTTTTAAGGATATGAAGTAAGTCCAGACTAATTATCTTAATTCCAATCTTAGTACTTCCCTTGCTATTTAATGAGGGATCATTATCTTTGAACACAGATTTAACATCACAGTTTAGTATTGCTACCTGCAATACTAAAGTCTGCAAAAAAGTGTTAATTATTTATGAGGATACCATATTTTTAAAAAATAAATTTAAATAATTGCTGCAAGGGTAATATATAATATACATAAGTGAAAAAACACTAATGCCAGGGGTTTCTTATCATGGTTGCTTTTATGCATAATTAAAATAATTTTAATTTTTAAAAATTAGAATAGGCCCACAGGACAACTTTATTTATTGGTGTTGCCATTTCATGTTTTAAACACATAAAATATTGAAATGATTAAACATAAAATTAAACAACTGAATTTGTTGTGGGTAAATTAGTAGAGATAAAATAACAGTTACTAAAGTCTGCTCTTAAATTTGTTCTTGTTGGATCACTGAGTGACTGATCCCACCCTCCTCGTACCACTCATTATGTGACTTATTATTTTGTGACCCTTGATAGTTTATAAAGTAGCTCTAATACTTGATACACAAGTCTTGCTTGTGGCTTAATCTTAGAATTTGGTAACTTTGGAAAAGCACTTGAATGTTTGCTTTAACACCACTATATCTCACCTCTAATATTCAAACAGCCTCAATATAATCAATTTATATGCCTGGAGGTAGAGAGACACTTTGAAAGTTATTTCTAAGAGTTATTTCCTTTGGTCCTATCTGTTTGGGGTTTATATGCCGCTATGACATTCTTTTTTTATGGATGTAAGCTATACTTACTTGGCAATTAAATTGGGAAAAACTGATTAGAAAACAAATTTGAGGGCTTTTAAAAATTATACAGTACATTAATAAGTGCTTTAAACAATAAACCTTCCAATGTCATATATACAAGTTACATCACAGGCAAAGGCATAAGAAAACAGACTAAACTTGCTGTAACTTCGACCTCCACAAATGCTCTATAGTAACCACATTGGTATGATAAGAAAGCAGTCAAGAACAAACTTAATTTGTCTCTAATCAGTATGTAGATATCTGTATATATAATTAGTACATATACATTCCAAGTATCCAAATTATGCCAACCTTATATCCATTTACCTCTCAAAAGTGTTTAAAGTAACTATAGTGATGCATAAAGGGGAAAAAAAGAAAGGATGCCAGGCTTCCCGTTAGGTAAAGCTATATCAAATTGTCAACTGATGTTATAGTAGCTATTTCTGTAGGAAAATATTTTTACAGTTCTAGTAAGTTACTTTATCAGTAAACTTTAACTTCATGTAATGAAATATTCTTGACTCATTGGGAATCATAATACATGAAAAAAAGATTGAGAATTTTTTTTTTGACCAATCATCAAACATGTTTGCATCTGAATGGGGGCAATTCTCTCAGTTTAATGTAAGTTTTTCAATGAAACGGGCTAAATTTACAACAAAGGTAGTGATCTCATTCAGTATGTCTTCTGACCTTCAGATTCAGGCCTCACAGAGAAGAGCGATGATTACAGGAGAAAAAGAAAATAACTCAAGTAATCTCCTGTGGCCATCGTCTTAGAGGCTGGTTTTCTTGTAATGATGAATTCTATCACAAGGTTTCAGGTTTCCAGGATTTGCACAGTGTTTTAAAATGGAACTGCCTGAGGAAGATTCAGAAAGCCTCTGTTCTTAGGCTTACATAGTTAAGCACTCTGTGTGATTCTTAATCACATTTTTCTCTAGAACACAATGCTACAGGTCACATTTTTCTCGACGATGCTTATACTGATTTGTGCTCTATAAAAATAAACATATGTACACACAGAATACACACACTGACATGAGGATGTGAAGTTAGCCAGCAATCCATAAGCAGAATGGAATAAAAATTGCAGGAAGAGCAGTATATGATGCCAAACCCAGGCAGACTATAGATGCCAATCCCACGAGTGCCGAAGCAAGAACGCTTCTCTCATCACGAATAATTATCTTCAAAATCTCACAGAACTGAAAAATAAAATTTAAGAATGTCAGAAAAGGTGGCTAAGCCTAAGAATCGCATATCGCATATACCAAATAATGAAGCACAATTTTCCCAGCTACCAGAAGAACTGGAATTTCTCTTATGACTTATGAAAGAATTTAGGTGTTAATAGTTTAGTTTCTTGATTCCACATCCCGTAACAGCCAGCTGAAATGACATCTTCAAGCAACTGAGTTAATAATGTCACTTGCCTTTGTAAATGCATAACTTTTATAGAAAACTACAGAGAATGCAACCACATAAAAGTTCAGGATTAAATGTTAAAAGCATTAAGCTGCCAATCAATAACAATATATTCTAAAATTAGACAAGCAAAGAGATCTCTGTTTTCAAGTAAATAAATTGTCCATACTATTGGTGAATTCATCTCTTACATTAACCATTCTAAAATTTGGTGATATAATGATAATTTGTTAACTTTCCTTTTAAAAATAATTTTTGTTACAATTGTCTTATAAATCTCAATATTTAAAGGCAGAGAAAATCTAATTTATTGCCATATCCCATTCCCTGCTTAAACAAATAAAACAGTTCACAAATCAGTTGAGATATAAAATTGTCTCCTGAAAAGATCCTAAAAAGTGCATTCTTCTAATATGTGTAATTTTTTTCCTTAGAAAACTAATTTTACTCAGAATTGATGGCCTATGTGTCAGTCCAGGATCTACCTCTTATTAGTTGTACGACCTCAAGTAAATCACTTAATCTGTCCAGGCTACCCTCTTCTCCATGGAATACTGAGGTTGTTGTGAGAATCAAATAAAATCTTTTATGCAAAAGTGCTCTGCATTTTTCTGCAGGTTGCATAAATATAAGGAATTATAATATAGATTATCATTGCTGCTACATTTGCTGAAAATTATCTCTACCTTATCACTGTCAGAACAGAATTTAGCAATTAATTGACATTTTTATATGAGTTTTGCTACTTACTAGTTTTAAACTTCTTTTCTAGACATGATATTGTATATGCTTTTTAGGATCTCCTGCAGTGGCCTGTATAGTACTGGACTAGGTTTCCAAATTCTTAATAGATAACGTGTTAAAACACATTGGACTTGTGCATTCTATCTTGATTGTAAGGTATTGTATATCCATACTTTTATACACTAGCTAAACAAATATAATGTTGGTTTTTTTAGATGCTGAACATGTATTGTATTTTGTCTCCTTTTACTAAACTAACCAGACATTGAATAACAAATACATAATTAACTGGTAATGATCAAATTGAATGAAGTTTCAGAACAATGAGAAAAGTTGCTCAGCAAATGATGGGAAGATATACATTTAAGTAAATGAGTAAGATATACATTAAAGTAAATGAGTAAGTTGTCTTGATATAGTTACATTTCTATCTTTTTCTCCAATGATATTTAATTAAGACAAACAAAATCATTATGGACTCTTTTCCCCAAAAGCATATTTTGTCAAAGAGCATCTCATTTCTAATGTGCCACTCTTGTTTACTTGGCCATTAGCCCAGAAGGCATCTTCTGGTGGTGTTCAACAGTAGGAAATGTCTTACATTTCTAGAAGGTGCTAAGAAGCCTATAGGGTCACTTTTTGAGTATCGAAGCCCCAGATATTAAAAGCGGTATTTGCATTTATTTTTGGCAATGAAAAGCAATATTATCAAAGTAAAATAAAACAAAAAACATAGTGGGAAAAGCATAAGGAATAAGTTACTAATTAAAGGGTTTTATAGTCTGCAAAACACTCAAATTGTTAACAGCAATATACAGGGTGGGGCAAAAGTAGGTTTACAGCTGTGAGTACATGAAAGAGTTTATTTCTTATATTATTATTTATTAGTGTATTATTTTCCATGTGAACAACTATAAGCCCAGTTTTGCCCCACCCTGTAAAAATACCTTTATTTTATTATTTCTAAACTTATAAAAAAGAAAAAAGAAAGAAAGAAAGGAGAGCGTCACCACAAAGAAAACTCTCTTCCAGTTCATTTTCAAATTAGTTGCAGTGTTTTCATGAGGGAAAGTGCTCTTGAAAGTTTTTATAAACTCAAATTTAAGAGAAAACTTTGCAACTCTACTGTTAGGCTGGTAATACTTGAATATATGAAGAATTCAAAAATAAGACCCAGAATCAAATAATTTCTCACTGTTTCTGAAAAGTAAGAACCATTAATTCCTTCAGCATTAATGACCTACTTCTCACAGAGCATGTTCAAAAAACAGTTCTGAGAAATGGAAAAATTGGGATGGAGATTTTTCCCCCCCTGGGAAAATCTATTTTGTAGCCAAATTGTTTGTTAGACCATTCAAAGTGAAGACAAAAACTCAAGTTTCACAAGAGGTGCTATGCAGCAACAGCAATTAAAATCCTTGTCTACTTCTGTGAAACCCTACCAAGTTTCCAAAGATAAAAAACTACTCCAACTAGTTATTTATGCAGATTAAATATTTTACTACCTTAAAAAAGCACTTGTACTGTTTTTCTGTAGAAATATATAATACAGAGCTATATGTGTTCCATGAAAGGGTAACTCCTAATTACCACATAGAAATACTGTTTTCCTTAGAGAAATGATTTGCTTGGTTTCTAAGTAAATCTGATGTGTTTCCTTTTGTACATTTTTGGAACCCATGTTTGTAAATGTGGCAAAGTTCATTTTTAAACAGGCCTGGACTGGAGCTGTGATTCTTGAATCACTGCACAGTGCTCTAACTGTATTTTAATTTTACTTACAAAAGCATTCCTAGATGGAGTCTGTTGTGGCTCTATAAATAATCACAAGGAGTTTCATATACCGATATATAAAAGTATAATATTTTCATGCTGTGACACAGAGGAAAGATTTTCCCACCTCAATAAATTAAAACCTGGAGCAATTAAAAAATTGGTTACATGGACTCAGATTCTTTTGGTCCAAAAAAAAAAAAAAAAAAAACCCAAACAAAAAAACAAACAACTCCCCCCAAATCCTAAACATGAAGAGTCAAACATGAAGTTCATTTTGTGATTACCTAGGCTTCCAATGTTAAGAGTGAACATTAATAATACCTCTTTAACAACTGCAGGGCAAGCTGAGAAAGCTACTATTGCAAATGAAGTTGAAAGTTAAGAGGTTTTAAACAAAAAATCCATTTTTTCCCCTTTGGGGTTGTGGCTATTTAACCTTCTTAAATTCTTCTTTTTTTCTTTACAGCACATATTAAAATTACCTTCCAACAGCTAATGGCTCTTCTTGCAAACTGTTTTTGATCTCTGGGGAATCCATAAACAACCTAACATACCTTCTGGGCTAATGAGTAAAGGATGCTTAACAATGAGGGAGTCTCTAAATGGAGATTAAAGTCAACCCAAAAATTCAAAACACCCAGGAAAAAATGTGTCTGAAGCCCAGACACAGGAATAAGAAGCAATCTACCAGATCTTCTAGCTGGGAATTTTGATAGTTCATGTTAAGCAAAGGGAATTAATTCGTTCTCTGCAGCTTACAGAGGGAGAACCCCGCAAGCTTTCTTAGTTAAAGGGCACAACATTTTGTACAAGGTGTTACGGATTAAATATAAACTCTGGACACCGTCCTTCCAATTGCAATTCTTGGGAAAAGTTGCCAGCACATGGCAAATTTTGTCATTTCAACTACGCCGGGCGGACACCCTGACTGCCTGGGCAGCGATAACCGCGCGGCTGTCTTGGCACCGCGGGCAGCGCTCCTGCAGGAGCATTGCCGCACTCGTTCTCCGCGCCTCGGAGGTAACCTGCAAAGCAGGCGCATCGCCGTTTCCTTTGTCTGCGGTGGGAGCACCGGAGCGTTCGTTATGCAATCTGTAACTCAGTGCTTGATCCCAGGGAGAGAAGAGGTTACGGATGGGAGGGTCGTCCCCGCCTGACACACCGGCGAGTCACACGCCGTACCTTGTCCGCCTGGGGGCTGACGGCGGTGCCAAATCTGCAGTAAGTCACGAAGTGCTCGCAGTTGTTCCACAGCAGGCTGTAGGTAGCGATGCCCACCAGCTTCTCCGCCCTTCGCGCCACCACTTCGTTGAGAAACGGCTTCTTCTTGAGGGACTTGTCCAGGTGATTGACCAAGACTTTGGCTCCGTAGGCGAAGTCGTCCACTGTGTCCACGCGGATGCTAGCCACCCTGCCAATAACGCCTAGGATGAGACGCTTGTTGGACACCACCTTCTTCGTGAGCTCCTTATCGTCCGTCAGAACCAACAGGATGTCGGGCATCATGTGGGCGACCCGGTTGTCGCCCAGATAGATGCCATAGTGGGTCAGATGGGTCCGGGGCACCTCCAGGACGTCACCGCGGTGGAAGGAGTTCATGTCATGGAAACCGCTCCTCGGCTTGTCTTCACCTGGGGCGCCCGAACTGAAGAGCTTGAAGTTGTAGATGAGGAGCAACTTCTCTAGCAGTAGGGACACCGCCTCCAGCATTGGGTTCTTCATCCTGCTGGGAAATGAGACTCTCAGGGAACTGGCGCCGCGCCCGCACTGGCCCGGCCAGGCAGGTGACCTCGCCAGACAGGGGCGCTGCGCCGCAGCTCACCTGCTGGCCAGCGGCCCAGCACCGCGGGGGACGGCGGATGCCGCGGAGAGAGCGAGAGGAAAAAGGAAGGGGGAGAAGCCAGGAGATTGGTTTCGGACTGAGGAGGAGGAGAAACTGGCGACGGCTGACCGTGAGGACAGCGATACCACTGCTGTGGGCAGCAAGCAAAGCGCACCTGGATTCCTTCGAGTGCCGGGCGCAGGGCCGCGCGGGAAGCTCTACGGTGTAGGCGTCTCAGGAGCTTTTTATCACTGTCCAGGGGGCGGGGCCGAAGGCCGTCACAGACCCAGCGAGAGCGCTGATTGGGTGCCGGTGGCCGGCCGCTGCTCGCGGAGGGGGGCGCGCGGAACCGAAACTCTTGGGAAGGGGGCAGGTAGCCTCCGGGTTCTGGGATGAAGCGCTGTGACTCCTTCCAGACGGGCTCCCTCTTGCACTCACGACCTAAGCAATTCAGCTTTTAAGCGACCGTTTTTTGGAGACCAGGGGCCGAGGCGCGGCCGCGCGAAAGGTTCTGCACCTGTCCGGACCAGGGCACATCCCCGGTTCTTGGGTAACGTCGGTGGAAAGCCTGTTCAGGGAGATTTGTCTTAGTAAAAGATTGGAGAGACCTCGGTTAGCTGTTTTCATTTATTATGCGAAGTGTGCGCTCCTCGAAAGCCTGCGGATTCCTTCCTAAACTCCGTAGAGCCGTAGCTCACACGCCTCGATCCTCTTCTTTAAAAGACGCGAATCCCCTTGGTTTCAGCTGGCGCGCGGGTTGGGTAGCAACGGGAGGGCCCAGGTATAGGTTCCGCGCGCGCGCGCGCTCAGAACCCCAGACGCGTCCGCGCTCGGAGGCACTAATGACCGTTGAACACGCGGCTCCCAACGGTCAGTGTGAAAAACGGCGACGTCCCTAACGTTTTCCTGGAAAGCCGGATTCATGTTAAGTTTATTCCTCCGGCTGCAGGGTTACACGGACCCAGCTTCGTTTCACCCACCCAAACTTTGCCGCTTTCTTTTAAAGTGACGAGGTCCAGAAGTGGCCAAGAAAGGAGGAGGCTCTGAGTTCCTTGTGTAGCGCCTGCACCGCGACCCAGGGGCATTGAGAGCGCGGGGTCAGGGAGCAGCGGGGCGCGCGGTGCCCCATCCTGCTCTGAGTTCCGTGCTAATGCATTATGCCAGCGACTTTTAACCTATTTTTAAATTTCATGGCATACATAATTACAAAAATTCTATGGTACACCAAAAAATGGGGGGTTTTTTGTTTTTATTTTTGTTTTTGCCGATGTGATCAAAAAAAAAAAAAAAAAAAGAGGTATAAGTTTGATATATTCACACCAGATGGCTATTGTTGTGTTGGCCATTGTCATTTTTTTTTTTTATTTGACAGTCTAAGGGAAAAGATGTGAGTGCCCCTGAATAGTCAAGTATTGCAGGTTTTAAAAATTCCAGGGACACACCGGTTGAAAATCGCTGCATTATGCAAATATGTAGATTTCGCCAACGGTAGCCACAATGGAAAACTACCTTTGGGTCCATAAAGCAGGGAGGTTCGGGGCTAGTAGATTTCATCAGCGAGCAGATCCTCCGCTCGCCTGGGGAGGGGGCTTGCTGCGAGTGATGGAGGGAGGACCATTCATCTTATTTGGAAGATGGAGGGGGCCATGGCGACCTTACGGGGAGGAGGCTCGGCCTTTGCCTCGCACCCGTCTGCCACCAGCGCTCTGTCCCAGCCTCCCGTTTGCCGATGTTCATTTCACAAACGATCCCGAATCACATTATAGTCCCAGCAAAGAGAAGATGATTCCATTTCCCACAAACAAATCAAAAGAAAAAGGTGGGGAAGAGTAGCGAGGCAGTGGACGTGGAATTTAAAACCACCTATTTCCCTAGCTCCCCTACCCAACCCCCCACCTAAAAAATTTGAAAGAGCCGAACTACTGAATTGCTGAAACTAATCAAACCCCTCTGCATGGGAGCGCTCGTTAGCTTCCAGTAGCACACTAATTTAGCTGCAGGATTTAAAATCCCGGGGAAATTTTAAGTCTGATCAAGACCTCGGCGTATGCGATACTGCGGACCCCACGTCGGACTCCGGGGCTCTGGACTTGACTGTGGGCTCCAGCCTCAGAAAAGCCCCGAGACCGGAGCCTCCAGTGTCAGAAGCCAAATGGCCTCGGGAGATCAAAGGGGACTTGGTAATTAGCGATTTCCGTCTTTGGTGGTCACTAACGCGGTTTATAACGCCTGCAAATGTCACCACCCCGGGAATTTGCGGGAGACTAAAGCACGGAGAACTGACTGCCTCATGCGTCTACAGAGGGCTCTTTTAGGGCAAAAAATATTGAGAGATCACCTAAAGGCCCTCAGTAGCCGCGTCTGTAGGGCTATCTGTGAGAGGCAAGCAGTGTCAAGGGGATCTGCCTTTGATTCTTTCTTTCCCGGTGCGGTTTCATGCTGTTGCCATCGACTCTGGAAAGGGAGTCACTTAAAGAAAGACAGAGTCCTGGCTGATGTGCCTCAGCAGATGGAGCACCGGCCGGCCAGCTAAAGGGTCCCTGGTTATAGATTCCTGGTCGGGGCACATGTCTGGGTTGTGGGCCAGATCCCCTCTCTCCATCAGTGTTTCTCTTTGCACATCATTCCTAATGTCTCTCTTCCTCCCGACCCCACCCTCTAAAAATAAATAAATAAAATCTTTTTTTAAAAAAAGAAAAAGCAACTGAGATCAGTATGAGGCATGCATCATTGTAGGTTGCACAAGATGCTGGCATTCTGCTGTCTTTGGAAAGGAATCAGGATGGAGGGCTATCCATAGTTTCTTGAAAGTTATTTCTGCATCTCATAAACTCCCAATTTTTAAGCCAAAAATGTTATGTCATTTTTTTTTTTTTCAATGAAGCTGCTCTCCCTCTCAGGAAGTTAGGCTTAGGGTATCCCAAAGGAGGCAACAGAAGATTTGTGTTCTTTGGAACCTCTTAAGCAGGGAGGGTTAGTGAGGATTAGGCTACTTTTCAATTGAAAATACAGCATCAAAGGAGCGCTTGTTGGCTCCACTGACTGCCTTACCTATCCTTATTCTTCAACAAACATTGTGACCTTGCAAGGCAAATTGGCAACAAAAGAAATACATGTACTCTGAGTTGCATATATTTCTGTAGCTGAGGGTCAGTTTTTGATTGGTTTTTAAGGGAACACTTCATAAAAATATGTTTATACACTAAGACACTCACACTCCCATGAATAATTCCTGCCTGTATCGACTTTAACTAAACCATGGGAAGAAAATTGCTGTTAAAAGGAAGTGCCCACCAGAAATCTAACATTAGAAAGTTCCTCCTAAACCAGAACTGATTATTTGGAAAGAGGAGAATCCCCCCTGTTGCTAAAAAGACCTCATTTTCCAGATTGTGTGAAAGGCTGTTGGTTCAGTTCAACAAGTGTCACGGTGCAAAACTTTAAATGCACGTGGCTGGGTCTCCCGGTCTCCAGGACTGGTGATTCTGAAAGAGCTGAGGCTTTCCTAGTCAACTCATCCTCTGCACTGAAAAGTCGACTCTCTTCTTAGGCCACCACTTCCCTCGCGTCCCAACAGTGTCCTGACCTGTACTTCAGGCCCTGGCCCTGGCCCCCCCAGCTACAGAAACTCGACCTGGGTCCATTTCTCCCAGCTGCACAGGCTGACTCGGGTGGGTTTTTGCGCAAAGGAGACTGAAATCGGGGCTCTCAGAGCCCACTTACCTTCTAGCTTTCACCGTTGCGGGGCACCAGTCCCAGGCTCTTAAGGACAAGGTGCAGAGTCCAGCACAGACTCTTTTTTTAAAGATTTTTAAATGTATTTATCTTTAGAGAGAGGGGAAAGGAGGAAGAAAGGGAGAGAAACATCAATGTGTGAAAGAGATACCGGTCAGTTGCCTCGCACACGCTCCCAGCAAAGGGCCTGGCCTGCAACCCAGGTATGTGCCTTGACTGGGAATTGAACCAGCGACCTTTTGATTTTCAGGCGCTCAATCCACTGAGCCACATCAGTTAGGCTATGGGCAGACTTTTTACCTCTGTAGTCTCCCTGTTCCTGGGAGAAGGCTTTGAAGTAGAGGATATGATCGCAAGATTGTGTGCTTCCCGTGTGCTAAGCACTCAGCAAATTAGTTTCTCAGTTAATCCTCATAACCCTGTGAAGAATCTCCATTATACACAGAGACAAATTGAGGCTTATAACTTTGTTTCCATCACTGTGTTAGTGTGGATCACGACTCAGATCCAGGTTTCCTGGCCCTGGGTTTCCTGTCCCCAGGTCCACTGCAACTGGGGAAGGCCTGACCTTCCATCAGTTCAGGCACATCATCTGTTCATTCATTGAGTACCTGCTGTACACCAGGTGCCCAACCTGGGAAGTTCAATGAAATACCTAACCCTAAACTTGGATCCCACACCTTTTTAGACTGCATTTTGCTGCTTCTCAAATGTTAACGGGTTCAATTTTTTTTTAAGGATATTATTTTTTAAATTTATTTTCAGAGAAAAGGAAAGGGAGGGAGAAAGAGAAGGAGAGAAACATCAGTTGGTTGCCTGTTGCACACCCCAACCAGGGACCTGGCCTGCTCCCCAGGCATGTGCCCTGACTAGGAATTGAACCGACAGCCTTTCGGTTCACAGGCCAGTGTTCCATCCATTGAGCCACACCAGCCAGGGACCAATTTTTAACATCAGTTATTTTTCTGCAATAGAAAGGTCTGGTTTGGTTAACAGTATATCCTCAACAGGAAGTTCCCAGAACTTGAGTGGCCAGTAGTCCTACTCTGTCCTCCGTTTTACACAGGAATCTGGGGCAGTTCAACCTCCTGCCCAAGGGCACAGAGCCAGAGGCAGAAGCCGGGATGTGTCCCAGGCTTCTTACCTGTTAGGCCTTTCTTCCCTTGGGTCCTAAGCCTGATAAATGTGCTTTTCTAAAGTCATGTTTTTAAATTATTACCCTCCTTTAAGATTATTTTGTTGTCATTCCTAGATTGTTTTGGTTATTAAATCATTGAGCACTTAACGATACTCTTCACTGTTTTTCTTCTGTTTGTTTTCCTTCAGTTTACATAAACTCAAGTTGGCCCCAGGGCACAAAGAGAGGCCCAAACTAGCTAACTCTAGGGCCATACGGGGAATAAAGGCTTTTGTGAACTTCCTTCTGCAAGCAGAGCAGTAAGAAGGCTCCTTTTCATGAAGTCTCCTAACTCAGTGCTACCTGGAGTGTTAGGCTAACATGAATCAGTTACCTCCTGGGAGGGAGATTTCCCCCGCTTCCTGGTTAGCTAGCACCTTATTCTGAGAACCTCAATCCTGCCTATTGTCTTTGGAAAGATTGAAGGCTACAGCTCTAGCCAGACAGGAATTACCATAGTTGGAGGATTTTTTTTTTTTTTTTCCTCACAGTAAAATAAGAACACTGGGCAAAACAAAGAATTTACATTTAATACTATGAAGAGTCATGACCAAAATGAATATAGCTTACTACAAGTTATTAATTTGTTAAGGCAGCAGTCATGTAAAAGAGGCAGTAGAGCCACGAGAGGCTATTGAGAGGAATGAGAGGAGCCCAGGTTGCGCTGGAGGCAGGTGGAGACTGGATTAGAGGGAGAAGGGAGAGACACTGGAACTAGGGACCAATCAGAAGGCTGCTTACCCTTACTCCAGGGAGAGATGAGAAAAGGAGCTAGATTAAGCGGTGGAAAATGAGATGGAGGGGCATGGAAACCAGTTAACATGTATTTCCGAAGACAAAGTGAAAAGAGGTAGTGACCTGGCTGTATGGTGGTAGTAAGGGGGGTAAGAGGAATAAGGTGGGACCATGGATGACGCTGAAGTTCCCTGCTGGAGCAACGGGATGACCGTGAAACTCTTCATTAAGAGGAGGAAGGCAGGACTAGAAATAGGTTTATGGGAGGAAGAAAATGAGTTCAGTTTTTGGATATGCTGAGTATCAGGAGTCTATGGCTTTTCAAAGTGGGGATGTTAAGTAGGTAGATAAATAGATGAAACAAAATCTCTGAAGAGGAGTCTGTCCAAGAGATAGAAACTTGGGAATCAGAAATGTCTGGGAGGAAGTTCAGACCTCAGGAGCAGATGAAACTCTGTAAGGACAGCACGAGCCTGGGGTGAGAAGGCAGCCAGAACAGAGCCCCACATAAAAGAAGGCCGCAATGAGTTGTTGCCAAGGTGCTTGAGAAGGAATGAGAGGCTGAAGAAAGTCGTACTAGGAGGGCATGCTCAGTAGTGTCAAATGCAGAGAAGCTAGCAAGAAGGTCAAGGGACCACTGGATTAAGCAATAAGGAAGGTGCTGGAGTAGTTTCACAGAACTGCATTGCTGAGGCTGGAAGGGTAAGAGTCAGACAAAGGGAAGGGCTTGGCAAAATAGAAAGGAGTCTTTAAAAAGTTTTGCAATAAAGGAGGGAGGATCAAATGAAAAGTGTCTTGTTTATTTGTGTTTTGTTTGTTTTAAATGGGGAGCACATGAGCCTATATGTACATAAGGGGAGGGAAATCAAGGAAGAGGAAAAATACATAGCAAAGAAAAATAGGCTAGCTGATGGAAGTCAGTCCCACAAGAGATGGGAAGCAATGCCATCAAAACCACAGGTGGGGAGTTAGAACTGGGGATGAGTGAGGACTTTTGTTCCTCTTGAGACAGGAGAGGAGAAAGCAGATACGAAGTGTAGCTCTAGAAACATTTAGAAGTTGAGTAAAAAACTGGGCTGACTTAACTTGTGCTGTAGACTCTAAAGAAGAAACCTCCCAAAACCAACCAGTTGGCAAAGTTCACATATATGCCTCAATAAATTCATGCATGTATACTGGTCATTTGCTTATATAAAAATCTAGATAAAAAAACGAGAGGTTTTCATTCCACTCCCGTTCAAAGCATTTATTTATATTTTTGCATACACATTCCTAGAAGCTTGATCTTTTTCCTCCTCATTTGTTAAGTAACAATAGGCCCTCGCTTAGTGAGGTCAATCTCTAGTATTAGATTAGGGATATGGTAGAATGTTGATAAGGGTAACATATTAATGATAGACACCAGGAAAAGTTGGGCTTATCAGAGTAATTCATTAAGATTCTTAATTACATTTTTATTACATCAAATCACTGCAAAATCACCATACTATTTACCATGGAAAAAAAATATTGATAGTTAATTAAAAGTGGTTAAATGTTTTCTCCTAGACTAAAATGTGAAAACAGTTGTATAGTAAACCTTGAATTTAATTTGAGTTCAAAGTGTTAGGATATTATAACATTAATTTTTCAAACATTTTCCTACTGAGGATAAAATATTGAGATATTTTCTATTTTTCCAAATTCAACGTGAGAATACTACTGTTACAATTTTCTGATAGAGTGTTTCTTTGAACCTGAACTTAATCTGTATGCTTATTCATAAAGATTGTTTAGAATAGGTAATATGGTATTTTAAAACATTTAAAAAGAAGAGTAAGATGCTCTTCAAACAAATAACAAGATTATGTCATCTCGGATTTGGGGATCAGAGAGAGATAACTCTAAAAGTGAATATATTGTTAAACAAATCACAGTTTATCACTTTTTTAAAGTATATGCCTAACAGAAAAGAAGAGCATCGTCAAATGCCTGTAGGACATAACTACCGCTTCTCTTGTCTGTGTCACATATACCTTTGGTGTTTATGGTTCCATATTTGTTAAAAATCAGCTCCTCTCTTCTACCTTCCAGTGGCCACATTTTTAATGCTGGTATTCAATCCACCAAGCTGGTGTTCATTTCAATGCATATTTTCCATATTCTTTTACCTTCTGTTCATTTTTGCATTTGTACTAAGAATATGTTTCCCAAAGGCAAAGTTCTCTTAGCCACCTACTAATGACTTTAAATCAGGAACATCTTTTATCTGGAAGTCCAATACCATTTGTCCAAGTGCTTTGCCCTGTTGAACAAAAACAGTAAAGTACTAAGTGTGAAAACAATTCCATTATAGTTATTAATGTTCATGTCACACATTTTTAAAAAAGTGATTTCTATATAAATAATTTGGGTAAATAAGATTTTCTTTGATAAAATGACAATAAATTTCAAATACACATACTAAGGGAATGCAATTACAAGTAAAATATATCACTAGTAGATTAATTCTATGTGAAGAACAAAATTTAAAAAGCTTAAAGTGTTCAAAGGACATATATTCCCAAATCAGAAACCCTCAATATTTATATGGGAATGTACTAGTTGCAAGAAAATAATGGAAGAAATTTTGAGGGGATAATAAGAATCACATACAGAGCAAAATAAACATTGAAGTAAACTGAACACATTAAGAAACTGAAGTATCTCTTTTCTGCTAGTGATTCACCATAACAGTACAACTATTTTAATTTCATCAATGATGCTGATAGGCGATTGGATTAGACAAGATGCATGGCTGAAGATGTGAATTGTTTTTATCAACTTTACAATTCTTTCCTTTTTCAAGGGCTACTGTATAGCTGAGGATGACTTTATGAGTTTCAGATGGTTCAAAGGTCAGATTAAATAACAGACGATATTTAAGTCTAAGGGATACAGTGAACTGAGTTAAGTTACTGATTTTAGTCCCCTTCTAGGATGACCCAGATATACTTCAACCCAACTGCACAGTATCTGGCTTCAGCTGGTCCTGGACCATGACAGTAAGATAATAATTTTCTTTACTTTAAACAATGTCTCTCCTTAATTTATAGAATGCTAAATACTCTTTAGCTTCAAGATTAGGTCACACATGAACTATTTTCCTAATTGTCGAGATACAAAGTTTCCTCTCTTGCTATATGATCTTCAAATCCTCTGAAGTCATGCTCATTAAAATGAAGATAATGATATCTTACTAAGAAGTTATCCAAAAAGACTTTACTTCAGTTTTCTTCCCCATTCTGAACTCAGAGCTCTGAAGTACTAGTGTTACGCGTTACGTTTCACAGAAGCTATTGATACAGGCCGATGTCCACAAACGTGGGGAACAGACACAAGAGGGAAAGTGCCCGAGGTTGAGATGCTCACCTGTGGGTCACTCCGCAGGGAGGCCGTGCCTCCACCACCCAGGGAATTTTTCAAAACGAAGTTTAATGCATATATCCCTGGCAATTCATATCTACAGAATTAAGTAAAGAAAGGAGAATTATAACAAATTTTACCAAATATAAGAATGCTAAAGAAAGCATCCTCCTCCCAAAGAAACCCAGAAGTCAGTCTTATGACAGTCATAAAAAAATTAAGGAAGAAAATTCAGATTTAAATATAAATATAAAGAGGTGTTTTACTCAAGCCCTTAGTGAGTGAAACACCAAGGGCCACATTCACCCAGAGTATCTTCACTCAAAAAAGAAAAGCACTTTGTAAATGGGAAGAAGAACGTGATTTTTTGTTTCAACTCTTTATTTAGACATAACCACAAACTTCCAGAACAGTGGCAAAAATTGTATAAAGAATTTGCATATATTCTTCACCCAGGTTTTCCAAATTTTGCTTTATCCTTTTTATGTATACTTCTTTCTCTTTCTATGTACACACATGCGCGCACGCTCGTGTGCGCGCGCACACACACACACTTTTTCCTGAACTGTGTGAGATATGTCAAGGTATGTTGCAATAAGTTGCAGATATGCTGACCCGTAACCCCTAAATTCTTCAAAATATTTCCCCAAAGTAAAGACATTCCCTTACATATCACAGCACAATTATCAAAGGCAGAAAATTAGTATTTTTATCACTCTCTAATCTACTGATTTATTTAGATTTTGTCAGTTGACCCAGTCGTGTTTGTTATAGCAAAAGAAATGTCTAAATCATGCTTTGCAGTCAGCTGTTATGTGTGGCTTGTCCCCATTAGAACAATTCCTCAGTTGCTTTCTTTCACGGCACTGACATTTTTGAGGGATGCAGTCCTGCTATTTTACAGCATCTCCATCAATGTATGTTTGATATTTCCTTATGACTAGATTCAAGTTTTGCATCCCTCTCTTGCTATATGATCTTTTCACACTTAGTAGTTTTGTTATGGCAGGAATGCCACAGAGCGATGATGTTTCCAATTCATATCAGGAGACACATGATGTTGATTTGTCCCCTTACTAGTGAGAGAGGCAGAAAACCTCTGACATTCGGGATCTGAGGATGCCACAAGCTCGGCCATGGCGTTGCAGGGAGATATGCTGGCACTCATATAGGTGCTGGTTTTCTGTTGAATGTGAACTATTTCCCAGAATAGAGTATCACTATTAGTCAAGGCTCTTCTCCATCATCATTCGTGAACACAGACGAAGCAATGACCGTCATCATAGTCACACAAATGGTCAAACATCCCTCTGTCCTGGCTAATACAGCATGGGGCAAAAGTAGGGTTATAGTTGTTTGTATGGAAAATAATACAATAATTAATAAAATAATACCAGAATGAAGTCTGTTTCACATACAACTGTAAACCTACTTTTGCCCCATGCTGCACATATGCCTGTGGTTTCTTCACCAATCACAGCTCTAGCTTCCCTCTGGTCTCCCTTCTATATACGATTCAATAAGATACCCAATGATAGAATTACACCTGCTTCCTGGCAGGGCCCAATCCACAACCATTTCATTAACCCCTCCCCCCAATTATCTAACGCAAGCCCCAACCCTGTACGTCCTTTGCCTTTTCCCTCACTGCAGCAACTCCTAAACCCAGTGTGGTCAACCTCAGGTGTGCTCCTGCAAGGCATTGGCACTAGTGATCGTAACTTTGATCAATTAGTTAACGTATGTCTGCCAGGCTTACCCATTGTAAAGTTATTATTTTCCTTTTGTAATTATCATATATCGTATGGGGTGATATGTTAAGACAATGTATATATTCTGATAATATCCAACTTTCTATTATAGTTTTAGCATCCATTGATGATTCTTGTTTGAATCAGTTATTACTGAGATGGTTACCCCTGGTACTGTGATTTACAATAAGAAATATATATTTGGTCTTAGAGTTTCTGACACAAAGCTCCTAAAACACTTGTAATTTTTAAAGTGATAATGGTATCTTTTGTTACATTAATGAGGCGACTTTTGCGATGACCCTAGATCACCAAGAGATGGGCACTGGTCACCAGAGGAACCAACTATATGGCAGAGATAGAAGACATATTTATGGGTGCTGGCATATTGACTCAATTATTTTCCCTTGAGTTGCCATTTTGATTTTGTATTACTATTCAAAGCTGGATGTTTAATTGGTCTACTCCAGTTCCAAATGTTCTATTTCTATGTTTTTGTTTTGCTTTATACTCTTAAAGAGTTTCAAAGCAACTCTTTGAGATATGAGTCCTGGGTTCATATCTCAAATTTTTTTTTTTGTATCCCTAGCTCACTAGGCCCAGGGCATCACATGTTGGTGCTAAATACATCTATATATCTAAATATCTTTATATCTAATACAGGAACCAAAAGTTAAACCAAACACAAAGCTCTGAATTAGATAAGTCCCTTTTCAGTTTAAACACTACATATTTTCATTTTGTATATCTACAATTGGAGGATGATGTAGACAATTGGTAGAGGAAATAGAAGAGAGCAATAGGAGAGATGAAATATTTATACAACAGATTTTATAAAAAACCTATAGAAATTTGTGTTATTTAGCCATAAGGAAATAATCTAATGAGTACACATCACTTTACAGGGATTGTCTGCAGATCATTTCCACAGAAAGAAGGATACAGGTGGATGGTGTTGAAGTGCATCTAATATACAAGGCCTGGGAGAAGTAACGCCTGCCTGAGTGTGGTTGATAGGATAATAACGTGGGTGTGAATTATTGTATTCATATTTATCTTTCTCAAGATTGCTAATCTGAATAGCAATCTGACTGACTGCCTCCATCGTGACCCTGGCTGGTGCCGTACACCATTCATTGCAAGTGTCGCTTGCCAAGTCTATTAGACTCCCCAGTCTGCCTCACCTGCCCTCCACTGAAACTGAGCAGCTCATGTTTATGAACTGCATGCTTATGATTTTGCAATAAAGGATTGTATAATAAAGAAGGGGTGTTATTTGTGCCAGATCCTGTAGGAGAAGGGCATGAGATCTACCTAAATCAACTAAAATCAAAGCTAAGTCGGGGCCTGCTCCGTGCTGCCTGACACAGAACTTGGCTGACCAGAGGGAGAGGCAAGCAGATAAGGAAGAGCCTCCAGACAAAGAAAAAATTCCTGCAAACACTGATTAACAGCTACTCACCCATCCACACCTTATCCTTTACGCATACCATAAAGAGACAACAAAGCCCCAAAGTATGCCTTGTAAAGGTTAATGTTAGTCCCAACCTTTTCCACTCTCTATTTTCCCATACCAGCAATTTTCTGTGGAAACTACCAACAGATATAATGAGCTCAACCTCCAGAGATGGTTGGGGGTCTCTCTTCTCTCCTGGGGACAGTCCACCACTCTGTCTATGCAGTGGCTTGTTCTGCTTGTCCCCTCTGCTAAATACAACCTGCTTTTCCACTTTAAACTCTTTTCTTGGTCGAAGTCAAGAACCCTCTTGGCTAAAGGGCATGAGGGTCCCTACTGGGACCTGCCCCTGGGCGTCACATCCAGAATTATTTACGTTAAAGATGACAAAAAATGGACAGGACTGCAAAGTAGTGTTACATAAACAATGGTCTGTGGGCAGGCAGCATCTATCTACAGAGCCTAAGAGGTAGTCAGAATTGCAAATTTGTAATCATTGCCTCCTCTACAGGAACCAGTGCGGCTGCGGCTCTGCAATATTTTAAGGAGCCCTCTGAGTGACTGTGGCAAGCTCAGGTTTCTTAAGCGCTGCTCTAAAAGGTTTTTGCTGGAAGGACGTGCTCCTAATACTCTTCAGAAAAGGTAGGCCTTTATCTTTCTCAAGGTTGCAATCTGAATAGCAACCTGACTGACTCACTACATCTGGACCCAAACCCCTACCGCACGCCATTCATTTCATTGCAAGCGTTGCTTGCCAAGTCTACAGGACTTCCCAGGCTGCCTCACCTGCCCCCACCGCAAGCGAGCCGCTCAGCCTCGGGAGCGCGGCGCGCTCCCCTGAGCATTTCCAGCCGGACAGAGACTGCCCGCTGATTTTAAGAAAGCTGAAAGTACTGAAAAAATGTCACACAATGAGCGGAAGGTAAAAGACGTGACAGGAAGTAGGGAAATAGGTCAGAAAAAAATAAGTATGATAATGTAAGAAAGAGGAGATCGTATCAAAAGTCAGAAGTGAGTCAATGAGAAGGGAAAGGAAAGGGGTTTGGAGGCGACATGTAAGGGCGCTGCCATAAGGGTGCTGTGAGGTAGCACGTGAAAAGCATGACAGTGTTTGGCAAGCGGTGAGCACCACTCACGGGCTAGGCGCGGCCATGACACAATGACGAAGGGCGAAGAGAAAGAGCAAGAGGTAAGAAACTGGGTAAGCTAACCCTGTCCTAGGGGAACACAGGGGCAGCCCTTTCTAAAGAAAGGCAAGAAACCAGGTAGCTTCTACAATCTTTCCCAATTAATGGTTATAACATGGCTGGAATGATATATGGCAGTGCACACACATATAACATAGTGTGTGTATGTAAATTAACTGGAAAGCATCTGTGGTATTTATTCCCTTTTTATTTTTCAAGTTGGATAGGTACTTTTTTTGGCATATCTAGGCCATTTCAAAAAGTCACCTTGAAGTTACGTTAACAATAATTTTTAAAATAAATATTTATAGAGTAGCATTGCTACTAACAAATCCTTGTCTTAAAATGTAACATACTTTAAATTTGACAAAAGCTCATAAAAATAGAAAAATCCTCTGTTTTGGCTGACTTAGCATACCTAAACAAATGGGGTGCCTTCTTAATTATTTCCTTTAATGCGCTGAGCTTGGTTTCAGTATTCATTAGAGATCAGACTTCCAGCAAATTTCCTGTTAGTTTTGGCTAAGTTATTATTGGTGAATTATATAGAAAAATAGAACAAATCAATTGATTATGGTCTGGAAAGTATTAAATGAAAACATAAGAAAGAAAAGTATCTACATAGAATCTACCAGTGGAAACAACAGATGATCAGATTAAATCTCAGAATACATTAGTGAAATTCTACTGTCTCATTGGCCAG